AACGTAATTGACTAAGCAGTATTTAATTAATAGAAATTGCATTGAAGTCTATGGAGACAAGCGATTTTTTTAAAATAAAAATTCAGATAATAAGAATATCAATAGCTACTGTGGTGGAAAGATCCATTAAATCATTAGAAATAGAATGACAATTGAAAACAATTTTTTTACCGTATTTTTTTTTAAAATTGATTTTTATTACTTAAAAAAAGAGGGAGATAACTCTTCAACAAAGGTCAAGTCATAAATTAGGACACTTCCTTTCTTACATGCTATAGTAATAAATGTAGATTATGTCTAAATATACTGAGTATTCCACCCGTACACATCTGTTATGCATTCAAATTCATTGAATCTGAGGCTATTAGGGATGGAATACCAGTACCTTAAATGTTCATCAAAGACCAAGAGTCTTACTCAGGCCAATGTAAGAGATTTCCACGAGGAATTAATAGAGTACAGAAGCACTGATAGTTTCTTAATATACTGTCTGGTGAGAGTGATAAATGGGGAACAGATTAGAACCTAATTTATGAACTGTTAATGAATACTAGACTAATTATTTTGTTAATCCTGATCACCCTATTTTTCTTGCTTTTGGGCAACAAAGCTTCACATTTCAGTTCATTTTATACTCTATGGATCCTCTAAATTGTTGTATTATACTCAGGTGACCGTTAAGGAGGTTGGATCCTGCCATCAAAAGTAATGAGAATTTTTTATCAAGTATATTTTTAGAATTTATACACATAGCTTTATTAAAAATCAAAACAAAAAATGGGGGTCAATGCGCTTCTTTTGGCGCTACAGAGCATTTAGTTTGACCTTTTTGCACTGTAAATACGTCTTACACATAAATCAATTTTTAAAGTTTTTCCTTCAATATTTTTTGTTCAAATAAATTATGGTGAACAAACACAGTCTTATTTCATCTTAAATAGACACATTAAAATTTGTAACAACGAAGAAATTTTTGAATTACTCCGCATGTTCAATTATTTGACCTTTTTGCACTCAAACATTTTCATTTTTCTGGTATTAAGATTTAACAAGCAAAAAAAGTCTTTGAAAGTAATGACATTTTACTGAATTTAAGAAGAATGATTAAAAGTATCGTATATATTCAGAAAAGAAAATTAAAAGTGGGGGTCTGTGATGTTAATTTTTAGATATTACTAAAATAGTGCTAATTTTAAGCTTAAATTAAGGCTATTTTTTTCTTCATTTCCACAATATATTTGCTATATTTATCAAATATGATGATAGAATTCATGACAGTTTTTTTAATAGATAATTTAGGATCAGTATAAAACAGTCCACTGCACAAAAGAACTATGTGTGCAGACTACATGTAAAAATAGGAATCCAAACTTAACATACTTTTAATTCTTCGAAAGAGAAAAAATGATCATTTTCTTCTAAAAAAAACCTTCCGCCACAAAATATAGTTCCTCACTTAATGCTTTTGGTATGGAATTTAATCATGGAGTTTTAACTGAATATAGTTAAATTGGCATTGTAGAATCCAAATTTATTGTAAGAATTAAAACATTATGCAGAATTTTTGAAATATAGGTTAAGATAAGAATCTGCTCAAAAGCTCAGGAGCGAACCTCGTTAAGGCCCTTGGGCCTCTTGTTTTATGTCCTGATTATAAAACTTTTGTAGATAAAAAGGCTGAGAGAGGATTTAGTCAATGATAGCAAAAGAGCTGAGCACCTTGGAACTCAAACTCTGGTGAGTTTTTCCCTTAGTAAACTTTATGACTTATGAGTGTTGATAGTTTCAAGACAGAACTAATAATGTGCTAGGTACACCTTCTTAAACATTTGGATGAAATATATGGAATCTTCTCACAGATGCATGTACATAGGTATTCTAGAATTTTTTTCAATGCACAACTGATACCTTAAAATTATCCATGGATTTTATCCTTTTGATTTCAGGAAATAAGCAGCAAAATTGAACAGAACAAAGACATCATTGAACAGAACAACAGAAATTTTAATGAAATGAAGAAACAGAGGGATGCATTACAAAATGAAAGAAAGTTAGTAGTATTTTGTTGTTCTTATTTACAGTGGAGCCTCATTTATCCGGACGCTTTGGTTTCCAGTCAATTTGTCCGGATATGTGAAGCGTCCGGATACCTGAATTGCCTTTGATTTTAGTTATATGGCCTTTTACCATTGGCAATAGTGAAGAATGCTGCTTTATACCAATATGTTTTATTGTTTAAATACTTTAATATAAGTTAGTACTACTCAGTACTTGTTTAAATAAAAACTACATGTGTCATTGGAAAAAAACGTGTTTATATGGTCACACTTATTATTTCTACTTCCCAATTTCTAATGAATCAACTTCTCCTAGTAGCCATGTCGGTACTGTCGGTAGAGTCTTATTTAATATGAACGCCCATCAATGCTAAATGTGACATAATCTGCACATGTATACGAACGCTAATCGTAATCATCCAAAGCGAGATCGTATTAACGATTGTGTAATTTTGAAAGTGATTTTATAAATGTCATCAAATCATAGATGTGTTTTGCACACAAAATACTGTGCTTAAAAAAAAAACTCCGATGTCATGTCTATAAATACATAAAAACATGTTACGACTGTATTCTAACAGTAAAAGAAACATATTTGCCGACTAGGAAACAATTATCCTAGACTTGTAAAATTATTTCAATTAATTAATACGTATCAAAACCATGTTAGAGAAGCGAGAGTCTCGTGCGTACCTATCGACCTACAATTAACCTTGCCGCAAGCCATTGAAACAAACAGCCAGACCAGTGTTTTTACAACAATTAACACCCATATCAAGAAATTTGAGCAGACTTGACAGACCAGTTAGAAAATTATCGTCTGGATGAATAAACCAAAATATAACGTAAAAATTCATTTTGTGATGAAAAAAGACCGTCCAGATACGGAACGCAGAATTCCAGTTAAACGGGACAAAGTAACGTTAAAAAATTTCGTTCCCATGAAAAATCATCCGGAAACTGAAGCGTCCAGATATCTGAAGGTCCACTGTATTTGGATGACATATTCATAAGTTAAAGTTTAAAAGCAAAATACCAATTGAGCTTTAATGCATTATAAAGAAAGAAAATTTGTGGTAGTTGATAATTCTTATTTATGACAGCTTAATCAGCAAAAGTTTGAAAAAAGTTACCAATTTAATTGAGATTATGATTATAATTTAGTTTATATAATTATGATGTGTACATGAATTGAAAATAAGTGTGTATTTTCTTTCAGTGCATTATGGAGACAAGAAACGCTACTACAGCAAGAACTACAAAGTGTTAGAGAAGAATTGAGTAAGAAAGAACAGGGACTTAGGTCTATGATTGGCAAGGTCAGTAATACATTAAATAAACATACATTGTAGTTGTAAAAGTATGGTATGTTTTTAAGACTTATTTAAGACTTACACCTTTTTTCTTAGGCTACTCTGAATGGTATAGACAGTGTACAAAAAGTGCTGGATTCCTTTCGCGAGCAGGGTAAATTTCAGGAGGTGGTGGACGGATACTATGGAACTCTGATTGGTCAGTTGGACTGTGAAAAGACATTCTTTACTTGCGTGGAAGTAACTGCTGGCAACAGGTAAAATTTACAATGATGAAAAAAGTTTGATAACTTTCGGGTCTTTGCTTATGATGCAGTCTGAAGCAAATTTTCATTTTACAACAGTAGTGGAGATCAAGTAGAGAAACACAGTATTAATTTGTTGTCTCTGAAATGTGGCATATCAGGTTATATTTTTATCCTTTTATAATGGATTTACTGTACATGTACAAAATTTGACTGTGATATGTTAGTTTGTGCATGTATACATGTTTTGTTCCCATTTATTTTTGAAGATTGTTTCATCATGTGGTGGATTGTGACAAAACAGGCACAAAGATCCTCACAGAAATGAACCGCCTTCGATTACCAGGGGAGGTTACTCTAATGCCCCTCAATAAATTGGATGCTAAGGAAACACAGTATCCTGTTACTAATGTGAGTTACTCAGTAGCTCTACTATAATAATGCAATATAAGACTTAAAATAAGGGCATTTAAATAATACACTGAATAGTCATAGATTTAAAAGTTCTCAAACCCAAGCTGGATCACTGTTCTTTGATAATAATAACTCATTTAAATTTCAGGATGCTATTCCTATGATTAGTAAAATCAAATTTGATCCTCGATTTAACCGTGCAATGAATCATGTTTTTGGAAAAACCTTAATCTGTCGTAATATGGAGACTGCCACTCAAATTGCCAGAACACAAAACCTTGACTGCATAACGTTAGAAGGTAAGAATTATCATCTTTGATATCTTTACTGCTTTCAGGAAATTAAGTACATATATGTGGGTATAGGAAGTTAAAATGATTATAAACATAGTTGACATCTACTTGTATGCAAAAGGAAGTGTAGCAGGTTCAACAGAAAATAAGATATTCCAACTTAGATTAATGTTGACAAAATGTTTAATTAATTCATATGTCAAGCAACATCTGCACCTTATATTTAACACCTTAGACACTTTATACCATATTTACATGTACATGAAAATTTTAGAAACAATTTCAGAAGGAAAAAAAGCTTAACTCTTAGGTCTATAATACATTTTTAAAAATTAACAATGAATTGTACATTTCTTTTCAATAAAGGAGTTACTTTTTTTTCAGGTGACCAAGTGAGCCGTCGTGGAGCTTTAACTGGGGGTTATTATGACATGCGTAGATCAAGACTTGATCTCCAGAAAGGAAAAATGGAGTATGAACAGAAACTAGAAGTAATGGAGAAAGAGTATAATGAACACAAACAAAAGCTAGAGGCAGTGGAATCTAAGATCAACAATCTGGTCAGTGAGATGCAGAAAATGGAGACTAGGAACAGCAAAAACAAGTCAGTAATGGGCTAGAATAAAAGGACTTTTGTTATCAAGTCTGTTTTAATCAAACGCTCTAAAGAGCACAAAGGTCAAAACTAAACATTGTTCTTATTCTGTTGACAGAGACACTTTTGACAAAATGAGGGCAGATTTACGACTCATGACAGAAGAAAAGCAAGCAATAGAAAAGTCCATGTCATCAAAGGTATTTGATATTGAAAAAAAGCCATTACCATTTATTTATTTTACTACATTGTCATTCTTTTATAAAAGGATAAGTTTGACTTAGAACAATAATGTTTATTTGATTTGATTTTAGGAAACCAGCGTAGCCAGTCTGAAAGCTAGTTTAGAAACCATGCAGGGTTCAGCAGCTTCATTAAATGAAGAGCTGGGATCTGATCTTTTGTCACAACTTAGTGTGGAGGATCAAAGGGAGGTGGATTATCTCAATGATCAAATCAAGAATCTCACCCAGCAAAACAAAGAAGCTCTGACAGAGAGAATTAGGGTAGGACTCTACAAAGTAGGGTAGTTTAAATGTCTGGTGATCATAAGATGAATGATATGTTATGAAAAACTCAGAATTTGTCTACAGGTAGCAGTGATCAATTGGTCATTTTGTTTTTAGTTGGAGGGTGAAAAGAACAAGTTGGAGAATTTACTGCATAATAACCTGATGAAGAAACGAGACAGGATCATGCACGACTTACAGGAAATGTCTGTGGCTGACTATCGTCAGAAGTTGGAGCAGTATCAGACAGAACTGGACCAAGAGGATGAGAAGCTGGCCAACTTTAAGGAGCAAAGCAAAAGTTTGTAACAAGATCTCCAAAACTCTTAAACATCCCTCAACATTCTCTAGTAAAATTAAAGTGGTTGAGGCTGATATTGGTCCATATGAATGCTAGAGTTGATGTTTTAAGCTCACCTGAGCCAAAGGCACAAGTGAGCTTTCCTGATCGAAATTTGTTGTGTCATCAGCATTGTTGTTGACATAAATGTTTCACATTTTCATCTTCTCCTCAAGAAACAATGAGCCATTTTCAACCAAACTGGGCACAGAGTATCCTTGGGTATAGGGGATTAAAGTTTGTTCAAATGAAGGGCAACACCCTCTTCCAAGGCTAAATAATTAAGAAATAGTGAAAATTGGGTAGGATAATTTAAAAATCTTCTCAAGAACCACCGGGCCAGAAAAAAATGAAACTTATGTGAAAGTTTTCTGGGCTAGTGTAGATTCAATCTGTTCAAATCATGACCATGGATGGGGTGAGGCCACTATGGGCGATCAAAGTTTTACTTAGGAATACATAGGAAAAATCTTTAAAATTAAGAACAGCAAAGTCATTATTATTTATATTTGTTTGGAAGCATCCTCAGGTAGTGTAGATACAGTTTTATTCAAATTATGCCCCCCAGGGGTAGGATGGGGCCACTATGGGCGATCAAAGTTTTACATAGGAATGCAAAAAAAAAAAAAAAAATCTTTAAAATTCTTCTTTTCATGAACAGCAGATTTTTATAGGAATATATAATTTTTTTATTTTTTTTTTTTATTTAATTTTTGATATATAATTGATAATTTTTATTGGAATATATAGGGAAAAAATCTTATGAAGAACAGAAGGGCCATAGTTACTCAGTGAGCATAATGGCCCCTGTGCCTATAGTTTTAGTGAAACTAAAAGTGTTAACCATTGTAACTACAGTTTTTTTTTTTTTTTTTTTTTTTTTTTTGATTTTCAGGTTTGGATGGTCAGCTCGAAAAGATGAACAAAGAACAGAAAGAATTACAGACTAACCTAGAACACTGGAGGGTGAGTAAATTTTACAGACTATTCTAGAACAGTGGAGGATGATTAAGTACGAAACAATAACTTGTTCTTGGAATTCTCGAAAGGTACTGATTTAAACCTTTATCATCTGCTTTTACCTCTTCAAGTCATTTGTTGTGTTAAAAGACATTCATGTATTTATCTAAATCATTTAATTGCAAAATTGCAGTCATATTTTAAGTAATCATGAAATTATTATTTTTAAAAAAAACACCAAAAATAAAGTATACCATAGGGATGAAGTGTTTGTTCCCTTTTTGAGAGCTATTAATCAATACATTTTTCCTGTATCTTCATTAATGCAGAAAAGGAATTTGATTGTCTATTTCCATTTTCAGGCAAAAGAAAAAGAATATCAAGACCAAATCTCTGAAGATGCAAAAGATTTGGAGAAGATGACAAACAAACAGAGCCTGCTTTTGAAAAAGGTTAAATATCTGTGGGGTTTTTCCCCCTTAATATATACTGTAAAGCGGGATTTTTTAGCAGGTTGCTAACTTTGGCTTATTTTAGCAATTTTGGTAGTAGCACGCTAAAATTTTAATCACGAAATTTGCAACCCTGCTTATAGAAGTAAAGATAACTTTGATGAGACTCTTATTAAACATTTAAGTGGTATATTTCTTTTCACTAAAACTCCTAATACCTTAATCAGTATTTAAACATACCGATATACTGAAAACTCTTCTGGAAGATGAGTTTCCTCTGTCTGCAATGTCATTGATCTCCGTGTCCACTAAAAATAGTTCTGCTAAAATAATTGGCATACCTTTGAGCAACCAAAATGCCATATTTAACACCTGCTAAAGAAACCTGCCATACAGCATCTGATACTGATAAATGGAATCATTCCAATGTCAAAATAAGTTTATTTTTTCCCAGTTTTGAGATTAAAAATGCCCAATTCAACTGCAGAAGATGCCCAATTTAACTGCAGAAGATCAGACTTTGATGACATTGTAATATGAGCTGACTAAAATTTTTCACTTCCTCTTCAATTGAAAGTAGAGATGAGTTGTAATATGTCGAGACACATGTTCTAGACAGCCTAGTGTCAGTCATTATTTACAACTTGAAAGTATGAAAATGTGAAAAAAGAGATACATGTATTAATATGTAAAACAATGAATACTTGTTGTTTATTCTTTATATTGTAGATTAATATTTAATAAGTTTAAAATAAGTGTAATACAGTAAAACTCGGTTATAGCTAAGTCCTGGGGACCTGCGAATTTATTTCACTATATCCGTAATTCGTTATTTCCATATAATGAATTCATTAAAATTTCCGTAGCAAATTCACAATATACTCGTAGATTTTTGTTCTTCAAGTATGACTATAAAATGTATTTAGGGAGGGAGGTAAAGAATACAGAGGTTACCTTGGAGTACAAAAGTTTTTGTATGAAATGAATTTCAAATATAAATACCTACAAAAATATTGTTAGTTCAATATTCTTAAAGTTGAGGTCTTTGAAAATTCGTTATAAAAGATGAAAATTTTGTTATTTTTAACCTATTGGGGACACAAAATCAGTTAACTATATCCATAAATTCGCTATATCCGTGTTTGTTATATCCATAAAATTTTACAAGGACTAGTAAACAATTTCACCGGGGATTCCCAAAAACTTTGCTATATCCATAAATTCACTATATCCGTGTTCATACTAAATGAATTTTACTCTATAAATGTCTTTTCCTGATTTTTCATACTAAATGAATTTTACTCTATAAATGTCTTTTCCTGATTTGTTGATGATAGAAAATTCCCAAATGTATGGTATTTTGATGCAATTTTCACAAGGGAATCCATATCGGAACCATACCCATCACGTTGGGAAAAAAAAATTGATGAATATTTAGATTATTTTATATAGGTGTAATACATATACAAAGTTTCATTTCTAAATCATAACATTTTGTTTAGAATTTACCTAAATATTTATTTGTTTTTTGTTAACAGAAAGATGAATGCATGAAGAAAATAAGAGAATTGGGATCACTACCAAGTGATGCATTTGAAAAGTATCAAAGCTTTAGTCTTAAACAGGTTAGTTCCATTTTATTTCCTTTCTATTGTAATTGTGAAATGAATAATGGGAATAATTTAACCTAAAAAAATGAAGTGTAAAATCTTAGACAATGTAAATATGTAATAAGATATCTTGATATGTTTTACAGCTCTTCAAAAAACTAGAGAATTGCAACCAAGAGCTGAAAAGATACAGTCATGTGAATAAGAAAGCTTTAGATCAGTTTGTAAACTTTTCTGACCAGAAAGAAAAGCTTATCAAGAGGAAGGAGGAGTTAGATAGTGCTCATCAGGTAAATCAATTGATGGTTTCGTTCAAGTTTCTAGAAGTGACATGTCAGAGAGAGATATATATAGAAAAAAGAGCTCGGAGAGGAAAGCTAATGTATAAATGTACATGTTTCTAAGCAAGAGGTTAAGAATGATGTATAACATGAAACTGAATTTGGTTAGTTGTACATCAAAGACATACATTTTAAATCACTTCCTGTAATCCTGTATCTCAGGGGTTACACTGTCTTTCTCTTATAGTCGTACTAGCAAGACTTGGGACTTAACAAAGTACATGTATTTTCTGTATTCAGTTATGTACAATGTTATTATAAACCATTAAAAAAAATCTTTCATTTCTTTTAGTCTATCTTAGATCTGATGAATTCATTAGACCAAAGAAAATATGATGCCATCCAACTAACATTTAAACAGGTAAGAAAAATTTAAAGTAGTAGTAGATCAATTGTACATGTATCAGAGATGTGCATATTACTTGAATTTTGATTTTTGAGAAAAATTCCAGTTGTTGAACCTCATCATTTTTATGTGAAATATTGCATATAGGATACATCAAACAAATATTTGGTAAAAGTTAATCTCTTTTTCAATTTTTATGGTGAAAGTTGTGTACTATGTTTGGAAGAGAAAAGATTCTTATAATTTATGAGATAAGTAAGAACAAGATCACTCTGTTGGGCTTATAAGTCTTCCTTCTTCATTTTCTGTTACTATCAAGTCTTCTTCCTATGTTTTCTATTACTTTATAGGTGTCCAAGTACTTCAGTGAGATTTTCAGGAAGTTGGCTCCACAAGGCCATGCTCAGCTTGTGATGAAGAAAGGGGATACTGACCAGAATGAAGACGAAGATTCACAGGACTCGATTCCTCAGGTGGAGCAGTTTACAGGTGTGGGGATAAAGGTAAGAAATAGTGCCAGTTCAAACCAGTGTGTAAAACGTTCTTGATATACAGTGTAGAAGCATGCTTGTTGACTGTATAGGATTTGAATCAGCACTTAAATATACATTTCATAACTTGTGCAAGTTGGATAAACCAGTTTTTCTCCAAGAAGTTCCTAAATCATTTGTCAAAAGACACAAGGCATTATTTTATTTATATATATATATATATATATATATATATATATATATATATATATATATATATATATATATATATATAATTAAAAGAATTGAGAAACAAGAGTTAGAGAAAAAATGGTAACTAATGAGCACAGATTATGAAACCCTGTTCACAACTGAATTTCTTAAACTACATGTATCTGAATGTAAATTGTTTTTAGAACGGTCTGCAACCTGTATGTTGAGGCACAAGAGAATCAAATGCTTACTAAGAATTACTGTAGATCAACTCATTCGTTTTTGAGAAATATCCGCAAGTTTCACAATCTTATTTTACCCATGAATATTCATCACCATGAACCATTAAATTAGTTATGTATTAATGTAGAATGTTTTCTCAGTCGCTAAGTTGATTTGTTGCGGAATTGTGAATACTATGGAAACTTGTCACATTTTTTGTGGGGGACCAGTGTTCTTGGATTTTGTGGGTCTTACCCACGAATCTACATCGCCGCAAACAATAACTTGTCAAGGTATCTGTATATTGAATCTCCTTTATCTACAACTTTCCCACCAAGTTTCCTGCTAAATTACATCCCCATGTACCAGTAAAATGTTTTGGTTGCCCACATTCATTGACCCCACTAATTAAAATGATTCACCTAGTTAAAATATCACTTTATGGGAGTGATCAGAATGTAAATGTAGCTTTACTGGCAGAATATGATGATGTACCCCCAGCTTGAAAAGCAGGGTTAAAGAGATGGGGGGTCCTTTAAATGTCTGTGCATTTGTTTTGATTGGGGATAGCCTTCCCTTATCCCCACCTCCTTCTATACCACTGAATAAAATCTTGAAATTATGTTTTGTCAAGGTTTCTTTCACTGGAAACAAGGCTGAAATGAGAGACATGCAGCAGCTATCTGGAGGACAGAAGTCTTTGGTGGCCTTGACATTGATCTTTGCAATCCAGAAATGTGATCCTGCCCCATTTTACCTTTTTGATGAAATTGATCAGGCTTTGGATTCGAGTCACAGGAAAGCAGTCGCAGGTAACTACATTCATGTGGCATTCTTCAGTATTTCACAGTGATATAAAATTACTGCACTAGATTATAACTGAAATATTTTTTGAGAAAAAATGTTAACTACTATATCATTTGTAATCATTTTGGTAGATATGATCCATGAATTGGCTGGAAATGCTCAGTTCATTACAACAACATTTAGACCAGAGTTACTAGAACATGCAGACAAGTTTTATGGTGTCAAGTTCAGGAATAAGGTAGGGTTTAAAACTTAAGTCATAATCAGTTCACTGGAATCGAGTATTGTAGCATACATGTGCATTCATATCTGATTGTCTTTATTTTTTTATTGATTCTGTGATTGTTTTCCACAAAAAGTTACTTCAACTTGTTTGTTTGTAGGTGTCTCATATAGAATGTGTGAGTAAGGAGGAGGCAGAGGATTTTGTGGAGGATGATACAACTCACGGCTGATCTTGTCAAACAGACAGACACACTGACCGGCAGCTGACATCGAGTGCAATGTGCTCATTTCTCAATCCTACATTTAGTGCATTTCCACAAAGCCAAGCATCATAATGTCGAAAACAGACAGATTTGGGGCTATGTGTAAAATTGAATGCATTTTGCCAGTGTCATATTTCACAGGATCAAAGGTTCATGAACATCTGGATATAATGTAGATATAAACATTATTCGGTTTAACATATACTGTAGATAGCAGCTGTGTTAAATGTTGTGTCAAATTTGTAATGAGTTCTATATGATCATAAAATTTTTAGCATATTTCATTCTGTATATACATGTATTTTAAAGAATATTTTAATGATGATAAATTATTATCACGTACAGTTAAAATGATACAGATTTAGAACTGAGTTAAAAATGTTCATTAGACAACCACTACTTTTCTTGCAATCTCCATTTAATGTTTTTATCAAATTAAAATTCTATTGTATGTGCAATGTTTTGTTGATATTTGTTACATCTAGACATCAGCATGAAATAAAGATGGTTGGCTGAATCAGTAGCACCTATGATTGAATGAAATAGACATCTTGAATTTTAGGTACCCCCCTTTCCCTTGGACCTAATGTGTAGGTCATATACATGCATTTGTAACTGAGAAATGTGAGAAATATCTGAGATCTATGGGTCATGTATATGGAGAATACTGAAGACATACTTTTTTAGCTTACCTGAGCTTAAAGCTCAAGTGACCTTTTCTGATCACCTGTTTTCTGTTGTCTGTCTGTAAACTTTCCACATTTTCAACTTCTGAAGAACCACTGAGCCAGAAAACCTGAAACATATGGAAGCATCCTGGGGTAGTGTAGATTCTAAATTGTTCAAATCATGACCCTCAGGGGTAGGGTGGGGCCACAATGGGAATTAAAAGTTTTACATTTAAATATATAGAAAAAATCTTGAGAAGCACTGGGCCAGAAAAGCTGAAACTCATGTGGATGCTTTCTAGGGTAGTGTAGATTCTAAATTGTTGAAATCATGACCCCAGGGAGTAGGATGGGGCCATATGTATTACAAGGGGGAAAATTTTATGAAGAACAGTAGGGCCAAAGTTACTCAGGTGAGCGTTGTGGCCCATGGGCCTCTTGTTCTGTGTGGAATATAATTTACTCTATGAATATGGTCACAAATTTACTGTGGAAGTTTGTCACAGCTTGCTTTAAGTGCTTTTAAGACACACAATAGCAATTCAAGAAATACCCACAGATCAAATAAAATCTGAAATTTCACGGAGTCGTGACACTGTGAAAAAAAGGGACGTCTACAGTACTCCAAGAGAAAGTAGAAGGATGAATTAGCTGACCATTAAGGCCCATGAGCCTCCTGCTTTCTTGTAGAATAGTTGTTATGAAAGAACTAAAAAGGTATCCAATGTTGAAAGTCACCATTAGATGCACACTAACCATACTTGCTGAGGATGTTGCAAGATACATCTTTTTTTCTCTCAGATGAATTGATAGATGGAAGTTTTTATAATGTTTATTTTTGAAGGAGAGATCTCAGATACAAACAAAAAATGGGTGCCTGGATTGGTATATATTTTTGGACCTGTTTTGTGTATAAATGATGTCAATAATAATTGACATTTCTTAAAATTCATTTTTTTAAAAAAAAGAAACCTCTGCATAAATGTTGACAATTTAACGTTTTCACATATCTAAGCAGAATTGGAGGTAATGCTGGCTCTCCAGATTGAGATCGCAGGGTAATTGGTCAGTTTGTGAAGTTTTCAAAAACACTGGTCGTTATCCTATAAGTCTTGAATGATATTAATAATCACCGTTGAACACTGAGAATGTGTATGTCTATTTATGAAATTATATCATTAGAAAAACATTGTAAAGTTCAGACATAGTTTGATTATGGTGACAATTCAGAACGAACTTGTGTGACATCTGCTCTAAAGTTTTATGGTTTTCTTAATTTTTTTTCTTGTCTATTGAAATAAAATATGCGTACATGTAATTTCCTGATCAAGATAAACAGAATGTTTCTAACTTCTAACGTCTTTTTTAGTCTTCTTGTGTATATGAAAAGAGCTACTTGAAACAAGATGTGTTTGTGAAACACTGATGCCCCCGTATGACAGCTTATGGTGAAGGTTAAAGTTTCTCAAATGCAAGTCAAACTCCAGGTCAAGAGATCAAAAATGATGGTACCCAAAGAAAGGTCTTGTCTCGATGAATATACCTGTAAAATTTGAAAGCCCTAGCACCAACTGTTCAAAAGTTACGGCGAAGGTTAAAGTTTTTTGAAAGTAAGTAAAACGTCAAGGTCAAATGGGACCCCAAGGGAAGGTCTTGTCACAAGTGATACACATGTTCGTGAAATGTGAAAGCCCTAGAACCAAACGTTCATATGTTATGGCCAAGGTTAAAATTTTCTAAAAGTAGGTTAAACTCCAAGGTCAATGCCAAAATTGTTGGTATCAAAAGGAAAGTCTTGTCACAAGGAATGCACGTGTGAAGTATGAAAGCCCCACCACCAAATGTTTAAAAGTTATAGCCAAGGTTAACGTTTTTCAAAAGTAGGTCACACTCCAAGGTCAGAGTCAACGAATCAAAGTTGTTAGTATCCAAAGGAAGGTCTTGTCACAAGGAATGCACATGTGAAGTATGAAAGCCCCACCACTAAATGTTTAAATGTTATAGCCAAGGTTAACGTTTTTCAAAAGTAGGTCACACTCCAAGGTCAGAGTCAACGAATCAAAGTTGTTAGTATCCAAAGGAAGGTCTTGTCACAAGGAATGCACATGTGAAGTATGAAAGCCCCACCACCAAATGTTTAAAAGTTATGGCCAAGGTTAAAGTTTTCCAAAAGTAGGTCACACTCCAAGGTCAAGGTCAAAGGTTCAAAGTAGTTGGCATCCAAAGGAAGGTCTTTCACAAAGATTACATATGTGAATAATGAAAGCCCTAGTACCAACGGTTCAAAAGTTATGGCCAAGGTTAAAGTTTTTCAAAAGTAGGTCAAACTCCAAGGTCAAGGTCATAGCGGTAGGTATCCAAAGGAAGGTCTTGTCGCAAGAATTAAATATGTGAAGTATGAAAGCCCTTGCACCAACCGGTTTAAAATTATGGCAAAGGTTCAAGTTTTTCAAAAGTAGGACAAACTCCAAGGTCAAGGTGAAAAGGGTGAAAGTGGTTGGTATTCAAAGGAAGGTCTTGTCACAAAGAATAGACTTATTAAATATAAAAAGCCCTAGCACCAACCGTTCAAAAGTTATGGCCATAGCTAAAGTTTTTCAAAAGTAGGTCAAACTCCTAGGTCAAGGTCAAAGGGTCAAAGTTGTTGGTATCCAAAGGAAGGTCTTGTCACAAGGAATGCACAGGTGAAGTATGAAAGCCCTAGCTCCAACTGTTCAAAAATTAATGTCAAGGTTAAAGTCTCAAAAAATTTTGCAAAAGTGGGTCAAACTCAATGTCAAGGTCAAAAGGTCAAATAAGGTACCCAAAGAAAGGTCTTGTCACAAGGAATACACAAGTGAAATATGAGAGATAGCTCCAACCAATCAAAAGTAGGTTAAAGTTTTTGCAGACAAACAGACAGACAGACTAACGGACGAACAGGACAAAAACTATATACCCCTGAATCTTCGATGCGGGGGTATAAAAACAAATATGCCAAGAAAATGTGTATATTGATACGATTAAACAGTCGAACTTGGAGCAAGTCTTTTTATTTTTTAAAGACCTATTTGAAACTAAAATGTATTATATGTAAATGATAAACTGAATCATTGGTATTGATCAGTAACTTTATATATTTAAAAATTGTGTCGCATTCTGCAATACAAGGTTAGCAGCATCTATACCAGACTCGTAAGCTCCATGGGTTGTAGAATAATGATGATAACTCATGGCCTCACCAGCAAACAGTAGCACAGGGTTCTAAAGGAAAATCAAACAGGTTATTATGAACAGATCATGGACTAATTGTCTGTTGAAGTAAAAGAGTCTAGTTCTAGAATATCAGTTTATCATAACATAGAGAAGTTCTGACCTGTTTGGAGGGCAGTGGTTTTGTGAGTTCCTCGAAGTCGTTAGGTTCACTGTAGATGGATACATAACTGTAACTTCCTCGGATATACTCCAGGCTCTGCCACTGGGATCTACAGAAATCAAAACAGTGTAGTCAGGGATCTACAGAAATCAAAACAGTGATGTCAGGGATCTACAGAAATCAAAACAATGTAGTCAGGGATCTACAGAAATCAAAACAGTGTTGTCAGGGATCTACAGAAATGAAAACAATGTAGTCAGGGATCTACAGAAATCAAAACAGCGTAGTCTGGGATCTACAGAAATCAAAACAGTGTAGTCAGGGATCTACAGAAGTCAAAACAGCATAGACAGGGATCTACAGAAATCAAAACAGTGTTGTCAGGGATCTACAGAAATCAAAACAGCGTAGTCAGGGATCTACAGAAATCAAAACAATGTAGTCAGGGATCTACAGAAATCAAAACAGTGTTGTCAGGGATCTACAGAAATCAAAACAATGTAGTCAGGGATCTACAGAAATCAAAACAGCGTAGTCTGGGATCTACGGAAATCAAAACAGTGTAGTCAAGGATCTACAGAAGTCAAAACAGCATAGTCAGGGATCTATACAGAAATCAAAACAGTGTTGCCAGGGATCTACAAAAATCAAAACAGCGTAGTTAATCACCAAAAGATGGTAAAAGACCACAGGACTTTAATATGATAAAGCTCTTCATCGCCATTTAATACTAAGTGATGCAAGAAAAAAACTCATAGGGGTAAAAATACTTTTATCATGGGTGGACACTGACTTTAGATGTTTAAGGTCAGACGACACGTTCCTCAATAATATTTATTTTAAGGCATATACTGTATCCCCTACCCCCTTCCCCCCAATTAAGAAATTCAAAAAAGCATATTGTCTACTTCATTTTATTTTCTTTCTCTTTCTATAAATGAAATATTATACAATTATAGACTCTTTCGGTGGTGAATATGGTTTGTTATTCATCAGAAAAATATCAATATTGACCGAGGCGAAGCCGAGGTCAATATTGATATTTTTCTGGTGAATAACAAACCATATTCACCACCGAAAGAGTCCATAATTGTTTTATTATATAGTCAGGATTTGAATGAATACGACATTGAAGGCTGCATGACGACTCCATTTTCAATTAGGAACTTCTTTCGTAGAAAAATAAAAAAAATGTCCAGATTATAACTTCCGTGTTTTCCTTTTGCTGTGTGTATTACATCGAAATGTTTGGAAAATAATCCTACGAGAAATTTGCCTAAAAGTTTTCCTGCTCAGATACACAGCATTTATACAGCTGGCCCCGGTCGTTGCAAACATTGTTTTCAACGTTGTTTTGGGTATTGATTGTGACGTCACAATGCCGCTGCACGCGCACTGACTCTCCGGTGAATACGGCTTCAAATCCAGTGAATATGTAGTATTATGAATTATTACCTAACCTACTATATAAATTGTAATTAGGCATTTTGAACTGTTTCCGGATTCTTTTTAATGTTTTTGCAAATCATGAAACAGTCAAAACTGTTTACCCGGTCACAGAATGAACTGTTGCATGGCTGAACTGTTCCATTATGACGTCATAGTTAATTTCCCGTACTTTACAGCTATAATATTGAATTATACATAAATTGAAGCATTTTTATTTAATTCGAAATTATCATCTGAAAAGTAAACCTGATACCAATTTAAATATATATTCAATTTAATACTGTAAATTCCTTATTTTACGCGAGTACTTAATATCGCGAAATGGCCCAAGGGCGTCAAATCGCGGGAACAATAATTCGCGAATCGGTGATTTATCTAGAGATTTTACATACATTAAAGCACCATAAAAATAAAAGCGAGTAATTTTATTTCGCGAGTGGTGCTCCTCGCGTAATTACGCAATAATTTATTCCTCGCGTATATTTAGGAATCTACAGTATCATTTCAAAGAAGAGGCCATGAACACCTTTTCTGAGGGTAGTTTGGGAAAAATGTAGGCCCCTTTCATTCAGTATAGATCTTTGCCATAAACGTGCAATATTCAAATCTTTAAGACATCATTATGTTGTTAACTACATTTTTTTTTCAATTTATTAGTGCATGATAATATCACACCCATTAATTTTTCTGATTTTACACCAATCGGTGTGAATATTTGATTACTATTCATCTTGTTTAGTTTGGTTTTGAAAAATAATACAAACTTTTGTCGAAGTATTTTAAAAGCCATTGATTATTATGTCGATATCATTACTTTGAGAAATCATATAGTAGGTTAGGTAATAAAACACTTATTTCATGACAACTCGGGAAACAGTCAAACTGTTGTCCCTCGATAATGGGGAAGACCTGGGAAACTGTTGCCCTCGGCTTTCGGCCTCGGGCAACAGTTTCCCAGGTCTTCCCCATTACCTCGGGACAACAGTTTGACTGTTCCCCTCGTAGTCATGAAATAAGTGTATACTGTTTGCGTTTGTATAGATTATATAGGGACTATTTATAGACTATATAATAATATCTTATACTGACCGGCAAAAATTGAGCTTTGAAAGAGTACCCGTAAAATGTGTGGAATTTATAAAAATCGTCCGAAAGTGGTGTTTAAAAAATTGTTTGACTTAGGGTATGGGGTACCCCTCCTAGACCCTCCCCGCATTCCCCTTCCACAAACGTGGTTAGAGATAGACCTTAAATTATCATGGACATTATTCAAACATTTGTATTCTATGCATTTCGAAACACACCCTATAAATGAATGCTTAGTATTTAGAGCTTCCTTAAACAAGGAATTCGTGCAAATTTCTTGATTTGAACCAAAAAAAATAATACAAATTTGGCGACTTTCGAAACAATCTAGTTGGATAAAAAGAGTTAGAAGAATTTTATATTTATTTTACACAGGCACTTGTTTTGGTAATAATTTTTTGATCCATAGTATAATTATAATACTAGTCTATGGGTTAAAAATTATTACCGAAACAAATGCCTTCGTTGTGATTGAGTCACATCAAATCAAAAAGTCACTACAAATATTCCGTGTTAAAGTTGTCACTAATTTATTTTTACCTTAGTCGTGTATGTTTTTAAAACTTGGTAGTTATAAATACAAACAGGAAGTGTTCTTGGAATACCGGTAGTCGTTTTTTTCACCTTGAATACAAGTAAACTGGTGTCAGTAAAGTGTTTGCATTCCTTAAAAATCTGACAAAACCTGTAAGAGTGGGCTTGATACATGCATACGGATACATGTATAATGTTCATAACATATTTGCACCAATAAAAAGAGTTTTAATTTCACTACAAGTATGCCCTTTGTAAAGATTTTTTCAGTCTAAACCATAATTTCGATTTTAATTTTTGGAGTTATAGATTTTAGCTTGGTCTTTCTGTCTTTGATTCGTTTTGCTACGAAAGTCTCCCAAAACCATTGTCTTAGTAGATGAGGCATATAGCAAGGTACAGACAACCTCTTGACAAACAGTAAAAATTACATGTAGTGTTGTCAACGAGTACCCCGTTAACCGTCGAACGATGCAAGTATGGGTTACTAAAACTGCTATTCGGTTACCGGGTACTCGGATAAAAATACATTTTATATAGCAATACGTAGAAAATAAATGTTAAATTGTTTATAAATGTATACTAACAATTTTCCTTATTTTATTCACCGTTAAACTTGATCTAGTGGTTCACAAATAGGATCGATTTGTTTTGATTAGTTTTCACAGTTTATGTAATTGAAAGCTCTCATTGCCAGGGGGTTTACAAGGTTCGAAGACCTGCATGAGTTATAATTACCTCATAATTAGTAGTCCCTCAGAGGAACATAATTTAACAAGATGCCGCCGAAGACACCTAAAGCTTTGAAGTATTTTTAAAGAACAGCTGATTTGAATTCTGTAAAATGTAAATTAATGTGTGAATTGGAGTTATTGTATACGATGGGACTACAAATATGTTAAATCACATAAGATTAAAACCTCATGGGCGTAGCTTCCATTGTGGCAATGAGGCAACTACTTCACTAGAATTTTCAGAATCACCGCTTCCCAGAATTAATAATACATTGCAGAACATATTTAATTTGTTATTAAAACTAATGGTACGAAAAAAAAACCCAGACAACAGATAGTTTCTGTTCACAATATACTTCCCAGAATTGATGGATCCAAACGACGCCGAATTCAATTAAAGTTTTAAATAAAAAAAATGAATTGAATTGAATATGAAATTATCTTCAAATGTGTTAGAAGTTTGAATAAACATTTTTATTTACACTATTAATTACTTTTCATATATGTATTACCATATACCTGTTGAAGTCTTCAATAATGAAACTGGTAAAATCGTTGCGTTTTGGAAGCTTCAGGTTGATTGCTCAAGACACCTATGTCTTATAAATATCTTTGCTATAATGTAGAAATGCCTAATGAAGCATATACGGATGTGTTTTATGAGTATACCACTAAGGCTATCAGGTACTCATCTTTGGTGCTTTATGAGTATACCACTGAGGCTATCAGGTACTCACCTTTGGTGTTTTATGAGTATACCACTGAGGCTATCAGGTACTCACCTTTGGTGCTTTATGAGTATACCACTGAGGCTATCAGGTACTCACCTTTGGTGTTTTATGAGTATACCACTAAGGTTATCAGGTACTCATCTTTGGTGTTTTATGAGTATACCACTGAGGCTATCAGGTACTCACCATTGGTGTTTTATGAGTATACCACTAAGGTTATCAGGTAATCATCTTTGTGCTTTATGAGTATACCATTGAGGTTATCAGGTACTCACCTTTGGTGTTTTATGAGTATACTACTGAGGCTATCAGGTACTTACCTTTGGTACTTTATGAGTATACCACTGAGGCTATCAGGTACTCACCTTTGCATCTTGCAAGGCTTTGGAATATTCATGTCAGGAGCAAATTTTTTTAGCAATAGGTAACACGTTTCCAAAATTTCTCCCTCTGCCAAGCATTCTGACAGACACCCTCCCTCCCCTCCAATCCACCCCAGAAGAGTAGAGGGGTTGTCCCTCAATACGTGGAAACCGTCAAAGTCCCGGTACCAGGGATCACCGTTCTAAAGACAAGCAAAAAGTATATGTAGTAAAACTTGCTTATATGGAAATCTTGGGACATCTTTTTAGGTAATACTTGATAATCCAAAATCTTTATTTCCAGAGAGAGAGATGGAGTTAAAGACTCTTAACATTCGTGATTTTGTAAAACACTCATAAATGAAGACATGTCCACTCCAAAACTGAATACATCACTTAAATCGTTGAATCTTTCCATTTAATTGACGTTAGTAATTTCGTTCATTGTAATTTCTAAACTGATAAAGCATATCAAATATAAGCAGTATGCGGGCTTTACCTTTTTGGTTAGGATTGAAGCTGGTTGTTTATCGATTACGTCTTTATTTGAAGTCCATACAAATTGAATTCCTTCAAAAGATTTGTCCCAAAACGGTGTCGTCCACGTAAGAAATACTTTCACTAAGTTTCCAAACCCACTTCGCAAAATCGCCGCCTTTTTCCTTGAAGGTAACGGTGGCTGGAATAGTTTTTCAGTGTTTGATTGCAGAAAACCTAGAGGTACAGTTACAATCACATAATCACAATAAATATATTCACCGTGTTTAGTTTCAATCATACATTGCTTTGATCCTATTCTATCATTACAAATGCCACTACTTTCCCAATCTATTTTCGTAACTGGTGTTTCTGTTCTAATGCACTCAGAAGGAATATCTCTTAAAAGGATGGAAAGCACTGATTGAAAACCATTTTTTACTTCTGTAAAATAGCTTCCGTTGTAATTTTGGTACCTGGCTGGCGATGCTACATCAAACAAGGAACGGCAGCCGTTGTCATGTATCTCCCATCGAATTCGCCAATCGAACAACCCTTTCTTTATGTCAACATCCTCCTCTGTATCGTCACGTGACCCCAAATATTCTTCGAATCTCCTTTCAAAACAATGCCCCATGCTCTCATGGCAGTTTGTATTTTCTTCAATACCATTACATTCTTCATGCACACTTTCCAGAAACTCGTTGACATCCCTAACGATTTCCTTTGGAATTCGGGACCCGTTTTCCTTGTAAAATTCGTTTCCGTAAAATGATGATGTTCCTGAGCCTTTGGTCGTCTTTGATGAGCGGTCAATAAGATCATGTTTGACAGCCATCTGGTACAAGGGGTTCTCATCTCCTCCGTGGATGTACTGAGCACCAAAGTCAATCTTTCCTGCCTCTATCCAAAAAAAGCATTTTTTTTCAAAGTTTTTTTGGGGGGAGGGGGGGGGGGGTGTGTAATGCTTGCTTAATGACACAGTCAATATTCCTGAAATTCATGTAGCATCATTAAATTAGATATGTAAATTTATAAATAAATAATAATTTGTAGCATCTATTCGACTAGATATTATTAAGACTTTTATTAAGCAGTCATTATAATTGAAAATGAGGTCCATGTCGGTCAGAAGTTCTACATTAGACCAAATATTTCTACTGTATATATTGTATATGTATATTGTATTTTGTATAGTGTATGTAATGGATCCATACAAGTGTAAGATGAAAATTAAATGAAGTATTAACCTACCTCCGTTTACGGTAAGTATTCGACCCCCCAATCGATTCATTGCTTCCAAAATCTTAACCTGTTGAATTCCATTTTTAATGAGATGACGAGCCGCACTTATCCCCGCAATACCCCCTCCCACGATGACCACTGAGAGGGATCCTTTGTTTCCTATTGCATCAGCCCCCTCTGTCATACTTAAATAAATCCTCTAGTTGACAGAAAAACTCTGGCTATTCCCAAACGTTCGCTTTGTTCTAAGGTGCGGTACCCGCACATCATGTAATAAGATCATACTCAAATGCACTCATTGCGTAATATAACGCAAGAAAATGTTTACATGCGCAATGAATGTAAACCTCCTTGTGGGCATGTAGCGGGGTGGAGCATCTCTTCCGCTTATCGCAGGTAAAAAGATTATAATAATTGTGTAGTTTTAATTTTACTTTTCCATTTTTATCAGATCAAATGCCATGTGCGGATCTAGAAGGGGGGAGGGGGGTCCGACCCCCCCCCCCCCTGGAATTTGCAGAGTTATTGAAAGTATATACTGAAGCAAATAAAAAATGACTTTGAAACCCTCCTAGAAAAACGTGGACCCCACCATCACTACGACGAAATAGATCTTTTTCAACTTTGGGAAATGGATTTTACGTTTTGTGATAGAAAGGTCTTGTGTTCGAATCACGACCGCAACTGATCTTAAGTCGATAAAAAAATAGGTAGCAACTATATTCCTTCGCCAGGCGCTCGGCCCTTTGAAGTGAAAGTTTATATGTTATGTAAAACAGAATTTTGATAATGAAGATACTAAACAACAGTGGTTTTTATGCTTAAAATGGTCTCACTGCACACAGAGGAATGCTTTTTAAAAATGCTTCAATACAGTTACTCTTACAATGATCTGCCCTTAAGTGTAGAAAAGAAAATAAAGCTGAATAAACAGTATACGGAACAATTGAAATCGATTCAAGTATTATTTGCAGTATACTAGACCACATTAAAAGTGCCACCCTGGAGTATGATATTCCAGAGAAAAAGTCATGGACTTCTTATTGAAAATGAGGGTCCGTTCTATAAAGCACTCTACCCTTAGTTTGTCATAGATTTGCTTGAAATTACGGGGGAATGTCACCGAGCAAAATTAACATTTTCTAATTAAAATCACTTTTTAATATTTTATACTAAATTTGGACGTTTATCTATGAAATTCTTTATCTGTTTTTACTATGTACTAATATCGAATTAATTGTGTCTTTAACTCTTATTTATCTCATTTCCTTTGAAGCCGGATTAAGGCAGTCCAACTGACACTCGGTGACTCTGTCAAAAGAATCTACTCATTAGGCGTTAATGCCTCGGGATTTGTTAATCCTGTATCAATAACTTTATTTATACAATTACTTTATAACCTCTTTCATGTCCATTCTATCAAAGAAACACACCTGTCCATCAATCAACTCAACTAGTGTCATAAGTCAATCATTGTTTACTCTTAATCTTACAAAAAGCTATGTACATTATACTTTCTTCAGTTTGGAGGCCCGATGCTCTACCGGCCACATCCAACTCGATTAAGACTTGTAAGCTTTTGTTGAAATTCATGTTCACTGTTATTTACCATCGTGTATAATAAATTCGGAAACCTGATTTTACCAGTTCTTGGACTTTATATTGGAAGACCATAAGGAATATACAGCACCTTTCTCGTTTGAATTGTATTTCGGCCCCACAGCGCCGCTACTTTATTACCGCCAATATTCCTTCTTCCCCGTTTACGATAAAACGACGGATATAGTCCAGGAATTAATTTTATAACTTATAACCAAAATTTAACTGGTTATAGGAACATTGAAAGTGAACGTGTAGTTGTTAATAAAATATTCATTAACTTTCATCAGATATTAGCTTGTACTTAAACAATACATGCCTTTTGTAACTAGCATTATGTAAATACTTCATGCTGATGGTGTTGTGTATATGAACATTACTAAAAAAAAAAATTAAAAAGTATGGAAAAAATAAACATAACCCCCCCCCCCCACACACACACACACACACACACACATTGAGTATTTACTTATTCAAGAGATTGAACATGCAAATGATTTTAATTTTTGAAAAAGTTAAATGATAGCAAAATCTGAAAATTCTTGTAGTTAATCTTATATTTCGGGGTTCGTGTTGTTGAGTCAACCCTTCCCACCTATCTCCATCCCTAAAATTGCATTGAGATAGGTTTAAAATAATATATGGAATATTGTTCTTTAAACTTCTGTACGCCCTTCTTTAACCGAGATTTCAGTACAATTTATTAAATTTCTTTTCAATCATTATTCTATGAAACAAATGAAACAAACTTTTGGATCATTTTATTTTCACATGTACATAAAAATTATTTAATTTTCATAATCAACAATCTTCGACAAATAAAATTTTGAATCCTTTAAAATACTATATTCATTTCCTACATTTATTTACTTCCTGGTTGTTATTATATTGTTTGTATATATAAATGTAAATTTCAATTAACCGTCTATAAGATTTCAACAAAAAATCGATATGAGTCGGAATAATTTTTTTCTTCTTTATCTGGTTATTTCGTTAATTCCCAAAGGAATAACAACTGCCAAGAATAAAGAAGGATTTTGTGAAGATTCGACAAAGTAAGGAATTCCGAATGGATTGTTAATTATTCCATTTGTTAAAAATTATTTTACATGTAGCAGTTTATAGGAAATATTACACTTACGGGCTTCAATTGGAAATCAAACAGAAGAAAAATTATAATACAAATCCCTTCTTGCTGACTTTTTTTTCCTGTATTCAGGCTTATACTTTTGCTCTTTATTCCGTATTAAGGCATCCTTTGGCAAGGAATTTTTTTAATGAATTGGGAAAATGGTGCACGACAGTTTTTCTTTCATAATTAAATGAAAATGAGTATTCTTTTGTACAAAAAATATGTTATATTACTTTTGGTCTGGGCAGACTAAATGTAAAAGTATTTACTAAATTAAAAAGTCTTGTACAGAGCAACTTTTGATGTCTGTGATAATGTTGAATTTTGTCTAAAAACTACTCTGTTGTTTGGTTACATCAAACATGGCAAACAAATTAAATATCATCATAAATCAGACCTCAGATTTTTCTTTACGGGTTATAAAATACGCTTACATTTAATCACTCCAAAAAGCAACTGTTGATATTAACTGTTTTCAATGTGATTTTCCCCCACAGAAATGAGAAGTGTTGTATTAGCCACTACCTAGAAAACGGAACATGTAAAGGTAAAATCACATTTAGAAAACAAACAGTTCGTGTATTTACATGAATAAAAAAAGCATTGTTTATTCTTAACACTCTTTTTACTGCATAATAATCGAAGGCACTTCATTGTTTTAAATGGAAATTAAAGTTTGTCCTAGCGGATGGTATGGCGAGAATTGCACACAGCAGTGTACACAAAACACATTTGGAGAATTATGTCGTGGAAAATGTAACTGCACCTCTGATGAAAAGTGTCACCCGGTTAAAGGATGTACGTTATATTTTTTTTCATTTTATCAAATTATTCGTACCTGTATTGGAAATTTTGCTCTCATAGATATTGTCAACGTGGCATAATTCATATCATTCACATAACTTCAAGTTATAATGATTGATCTCATCAAAGTTGCAATGGTTACTTTATCTAACTAAAGCATTATATGTTGATTTCACGCGTGAATAGTTCAGTTCAAGTCGACATTGACATACTCACATGTACATTGTCTTGTGATACAGGTAACTATCAAGACGACGAGATAATCATATGACGAAAAGTTATATGATTTGCAGAAATGTTCCCATTGTATGATTATGAAAGTATTGTCTTTGATTCAGGTATTTCAAAGGGAGTGTGTTTAGAGAATAATGGGTAGGGATCTTCTCTTCATATTTGTTTCTCTATAGTGAATTATATACAAATCAATATATTTGTTGAAACATCATATCACTATATTTGAGTACTGTTCATATTCTTTAATTCATTTCACGTCATTTCAGAAAGTTCAAATGCTGTAACAATTACGTTCAACGTGTCAGAAATAAATGTTCAGGTTCGTTTTGCCTCTTCTGGACTTAATATGTAACACTTATAATATAACAACTTACGATACTGTAATTTAAAGTTACTTTTTTCGTCCAGCGAGAAAGAAAAATGAGGGTGGCAGGAAAATTAGAGTTCCCGTGTAAAGCAGTTTTGAAATAGCATAGATTTATTTTTCTTAGCATAGTTTATTTATATATGTTTGCTAATTAGGATTTGAAAAAAATATATGAAAAAGTGCTGCACAACGAGTAATATATCCACTGAGTCAAATCTTTGATTAAGAAAAATGATAAAAAGATACGTTTCTGTACAAAATTAATAAATCATTTGTTCCATGTATAAAATATTTGTCTCCAAACATTTACAGCTTGTTTACCAGGAACGTTTGGCTTTAATTGCTCGAAGAAGTGTCCTGATGGAAAATATGGCCATCTCTGTTTACAGGAATGTAACTGCAATCCAGGTGTCACTTGTGACAAACGATTTGGTTGTGTTGACCAAAGTAGGTCTTACTGCAATGTAAATATTCTAAAAATGAACATCCTGATGATAAACATCACTATAGAATAAAATTATAAAAAAGCAAAACCATTTGTACAAGATTAAGATATATTGTTTCAAAATGTATAGAGCTGAATATGATTAACTTTATAATTTGCTTTTTTTTATTATTATTTCAAAGTGTATAAATGAAGTCTTGTTAAAATATATACTTCAACAAAATAGGGAATACATGTACAAACAAATTCTGTCTCTGAGCTATATTCAGCAGCTGATTAGAGAACAAACTCAGTTGTGTGCGTGTGTCTGTTTGTGTGTATATAATTGTTCTATTCGGTATAGCATACAAACTCAGAATAATGAAATGAGGAGCGAAAAAGGGTTGTATTATGACCAGTGGCATAATAAAGTATCATTGATGTTATTATTACGTAACAGAATTTGATGATTAGTTTCAAAATAATAACGACAGGATTAGTGGCCCTGGTCTTTGCATCTGTTTAATTTGGAATTCGGAATTAAATGAAAGAAAAAATACAGTGTTGTTATTTCAACAAACTTTGAGCAAAGATAATGGAATTCATATTTATGTATTACCTTAA